GAATACCCACGGGTGACGCCGGTATTAAAATAATGTCAAGCGTATCTTCACCTATTGCTATCCACAAGTGTGGTTTCTAAAACAATACCCGTGTCACTTTTAGCAAGTATGTGGTATATGGGCAGCTGACAGTGTATGACACCACGTGTATTAATATAATTCGTAAAACATTATCACCTGCGACAAATCAGCCAGTAAAAGCATTTCACCACAATGTGGAGGTGCTAAAATCAGTTTTGTAATTTTATTCAATGTATTTTCGGGAAACTTATGCGGGCGTATTGAATCACTGTCCTATCATAAAAGGTGTTTTAGTCATGCGATGTATCAATTTGGATCACGTGATTTACCCTATAAAAAGACATGCTACTTTAGATAGACAGACTCAAATATAGACTCAGAGAGACTCAGATACAGACTGAGATAGACACGGACAGACTCGGATATATACACCGGACCTGGTCCACTTGTTTGTCCTATGGGCATGGCCGTTTGGCCAACGCCCAGATACCACTATTGTACTCTATGTCGTTTTCCCGATGTCACCATCCGAATAAAGATCACCGGTTTATACCACTCAGAGCTCCAGTCTAAATTCACTATTGACACAGACTAAAATTTCTCTTTTGATTTGTGTTGTATGGTTTGAATCGTGCCCCCAGTTTGAATAGACCGCTTTAGATTTAAGATTGATTATAGTAGATTTGTGAAGCTAAAGTCAGTTTTGAATGGTCTATGGATATGACGAGTATTCGTTTTCTTCGACAATCATTGTAACATAAGTATTATCCCACCCAACCAGAAAGAAAATTATTAAAGCCATTAGGCAAGTAGTTTTTAAGAGGTCGAAAATAACCAAAAGTGACAAAAATATTCGCTTAATATAGAGAATTAATGATATCTTTACAAAATGAAGAAATCTGACAGGTTCGTCCAACATGCCAAGTATCAAAGCAATCAGACTAGTTTTCAAGAAGTGAAATAAAATATAATTTATACCAAAAATGGCAAAATATTAGCTAAAACAGAAAATAAACAAATGAACTGACATATCAAATATCAAAGCTTGTAGTTTTCAAACAAATTAAACAAATAGTTCATTTCGCTTAAAATTAATTATCTTCAGGCACCTCGGGTAGAGGTCCAACCAAGGTACTGACTTATCAAGTATCGAAGCAGCCGTGCCAGTAGTTTTCGCGATGGTCTAATGCAATCATTAACGTTGGACGGACGACAGACGGACAACGAAAAACGTCAATGTGAACAGTTCCGCTTTGTCATCTTTTCTGACAGCAGAGCTAAAAACTTGCAAGGAGAGAATTCTTTCTTAGCAAGAATGACTATCGTTGAATCGATAAGGATCTCAAATTAAGTTTTACACCAAAAAAAACAATAACAATTCATTTTCATTCAATAAGCGTTATTATATGCCATCAATCATCGGAGATACACAATTAACTCTGATGTTGAATGATAATATACTAGGACAGTTATAAAATGGTCCACATTTTTCTGTTTTGCAAATGATTACAAGTAGTATGTCTAGAAAACTCTACATTATGAACATAATCGTGATTTAAAAACGAAAAAAAACAACAATAAATACTACTAATCGTATTTTATAGTAAATAAAATATGCACTACTTTGGTAATTTGAAATATCCTAATCATCACGCTGTCACATAGGTTCCCCAAACTGGACGTATGGAGCAAGGGATAGGCGCCGTTGGTGGCGCTATATGTCTATATTGTGTTTGCCCAAAAGTGGCCAGTTTAGTATGATAGCAACTGTGTCGTTTTAGTCATCTAATTACCACAATAGAAAGGCTGTATGTCGATGCCAACATATACATGGTTGTGGTGATTTTTGGTCAATGCTATTAATAATTCGATTCAAATAATATTCATGAGTAATGTCTACGTCATTCAAGTTTTTGGGTTAATAATAATTATTGTGCTTGAGACTTTGTTTATCTGCTCGTCTATTAGTCATAAGTGTATTGTTGATAAAGTAAGATAATACATTTGAGCAATAATGTTTTTCACCTATGTCATTAAAATAATAATGTGGAATGTACAAATATACAATGTTAATATATACGTAGACATGTTGTCAATTAGGTATGACGTCACACTGTAGTGATATGCATTTACAAAACTCGGCATCATCATACTGAGAAAGTTTACAGTCCGATTTGCCACTACTGTAAACAAGTTGGAAATATTTTGCACAAAATGTAGGGTGTACCGTATACACCAAAAAAGAAACATATGCGGGGTAAAAGTATTGATATATATTTACATTTCCGTATACTGCAGTGTGAGAGTTTTTCACTGTCTACTCGGAGTATATACCGCCAGTTCGCCGGCCGTCTTGTTGGTATAATTCGAATGATCGTTCGTGAAACTCTCTTGCGATTTAACCAACAGAAACAATGACAACTTGAAATTGCAAACATGCATAGTGGTGTATTATTGTAAATAATTTATATTTTTAACAAATATTAAAAGATAAACC